CCAAAAGTGGCTGGGATGGGCATGGTTAGTTCTTAAAGTGATAGCAAAGAATAACAGCTACTGATAAAAAAAAGTTCGTAAAAGAAGGAAGGCAGCTTTATAGAGCCTGTCTTTCAGGGGGAGATTATTTGTTATGGAGAGGTGATATACAAAAAAATTGCAAAAAGACCACACAAAATAATGCCATCATGGGTTTCCCCCAGCATAACCTTGACATGTTAACTGGTGAAGGACAGTATGCTGGCTTAGCAGCACAGATCACATATGATTCTGCGATTTATGCTCAGATAGCTGCCGCGGCAGTTAAAGCTTGGAAAACTTTACCTAACAAAGGAGCAGGAGAACAGCTTTCTAAGACCCTTCAAGGATCTTCAGAACCTTATTCTGAGTTTATTGACCGCCTGCTACAGGTGGGAAGTTGCATTTTTTGGGGATGTGGACTCAGCTATGCCAGCCATAAAGCAATTAGCCTATAAAAACACTAACAGATTTTGTCAAGAGGTTTTACACCCCCATAAAAATGGAGATTTAGATAACTTTATCCGGTTATGCAGGGACATTAGTGGCACTCACATGATGGGTCAGGTAATTGTTTCTGCCCTTAGGGAAGGGCAAGGCAGAGCTAGATCTAGAAATTGTTTTCATTGTGGTATGTCAGGACACATTAAAAAAAAATTGCCCTGAGGGTAAAGGGATGGTTATTCAGCCCAGAAAAAAAGCCAGGTGTAATGGCACGAGCCTTCAATCCCAACTCTTTGGAGACAGAGACCTACAGATCTCTATGAGTTCAAGGCCAGCCTGGTCTACAGAGTGAGTTACTAAAACAGCTAGAGACAGGATGTATAGTGCCATCCACTTCTCCCTGGAACACTCCTATCTTTGTTATTAAGAAAAAGTCTGATAAATAAAGGTGGCTGTAAGATCTTAGAGCAGTAAATGGTTGTATGTACATTCTACAGGGGAGTCCAGATCCAACTTCCTTTCGTGAGTTGATAATTTTTCCCTCTCAACATAGTCCTACTGGAGTTTTTTGGCAGAAAGGACCCGTCCTATGGGTAGATAAACATGTGTCGCCTGTAAAAATTGTTATCTCGTACCCATCAGCTGTGCTACATGTTATTCAAAAAGGGTATAAACTTGGTTTACAAACCTTTGAAATGTTACCTGATAAGGTTATTATGCCATATACCCAGGCAGAAATAGCTTGGCTATAAAATTTTGATAAAGATTGGACCTTGTTTTTATACACTAATCCCTACAAGTTTGATAATCATTATCCTTCTGATAAGTTGGTCACCTTTTTCAAAAATGATCCGGTATGTTTCCCTAAAGTTATTTCCTTACAGCCTCTGGCAGGGACACAAAATATGTTTACTGATGGTTCTTCTACCGGGAGAGCTATGCTAGCCTCCCCTCCTGATTTTGATATTCAGCCTGTTAATGCTAAATCCGCTCAGATGACTAAATTGATCGCTGTACAAATGGCCTTAGAGAAATACGCTGATATTCCATTTAACCTTTTTACTGACAGTCAGTATATAAGCAAAATTCTTACACCTTTAAAAACTGCAGCTTATATTGCTTCTGTATCTCGAGTCCAGATGCAGTTATTGGCTATCCAAACTTTACTTTGGGCCTGATCTGTTCCCATTTACGTAGGACATTTACAGGCTCAACAAATGTGGGTTCATAGGGGCTCACAGAGACTGAACCAACAATCAGGGAACCTACATGAGATTGACCTTGGCACTTTGCATGTATGTTACAGTTGTGTAGCTTGGTCCTTCTGTGGGACTCCTAACAAGTGGGGACAGGGCTGGTCTCCAACCCTTTTATTGGCTTTCAGCACGCTACTTCTCATACTGGGTTGCCTGGCCTGGCCTTAATACATGGGGAGGTTCTTAGCCTTACTGCAACTTGATATGCCATGTTTTGTTAATACTCATGGGAGACCTGTCCTTTCCTAAACAGAAGCGGAGGAGTGGATTGGAGAGTGGGAAGAGAGGGTGGTGGTGGAGGGACTGGGAAGAGAGGAGGTAGTGGAAACTGTGGCTGGGATGTAAAAGAAATGAATGAATGAATGAATGAATAATACATTTACTTAAAAGAAACTCTACAGTCAATAACAGTCAGGGCAATATGTCTCATTAGAGCCTGGCTATCCTACCATAGAAGGCCCTGAATATTGCAATATAGCTGCAGTACAAGAAAAAGACCTCAAAACCGACTATATGAAGATGATAGAGGTCCTTAAAGAAGAAATGGGGAAAAAATCACTTAAATCCAGGAAAATACAAACAAACAATTGGAGGAAAGGAACAAATCACTTTAAGAAAGCCAAGAAAACATAAACAGTTGAAGGATAGGGATAAAGGTGACATGAAAATGAAAATGGAAGCAACGAAGAAAACACAAGCTAAGGGAGTTCTGGAAGTGAAAAATTTATAAATTCCAACAGGAACTACAGAGGCAGGCGTCATTAATAGAATAAGATGGAAGAGAAGATCTTAGGCATTGAAAATACAATAGAAGAAATGAATACATTGATCAAAATTAAATGGAGAGAAACTCAAAGCAGTTTACTAAAATCTGGAACAAGACAAGGCTCTCTCCATTCAATATATAGTACTTGGAAGTTTTAGCTAGAGCAATAAGACAACTAAAGGAGATCAAAGGTATATAAATTGGAAAGGAAGCAGTTAGAGTATCATTTATTTGCAGATGATGTGACAGCATACATTAGTGACCAGGGAACTACTACAGCTGATAAAAATCCAGGAAATACCTTTCATAATAATCTCAATATAAAATATCTTGGTGTAACTCTAGGCAAGTGAAAGACTAGTATGATAAAAAATTCAAGTTTTTAGGAAGATAACAGAAAATGAAAAGATCTTCCATGCTACTGGATTGGTACAATTAGCAAAGTAAAAGTGGGCATCTTATCAAAAGCAATCTACAGATTCAGTGTAGTCCCCACTAAAATTCCAGCACAATTCTTTACAGACCTTGAAAGGATAATTCTCAACTTCATATGGAAAAACAAAAAACTCAACCTAGGATAGTTCAAACAACCCTGAACAACTAAAGATCTGATGGAGGTTTCATCGTTGCATCTCAAGTTGTACTACAGAGTATAGTAATAAAAACTATGGTATTGGTATAAAGACAGACAGGTTGATCAATGTAATCAAACTGAAGACCCAGTCAACACACCTATGGACACCTCATTTTTGATAAAGCCAGAAATACACACTGGAAAAAGGACAACATCTTCAACAAATGGTACTGGTCAAACTCGATGTTTGCATGTAGAAGAATGCAAATAGATCCTTTTTTTTACCTGCACAAAACTCAAGTCTAAGTGGATCAAAGATCTCAAATAAAACCATACCTTGAACCTGATAGAAGAGAGAGTGAGGAATAGCCTGGTACACTAAGATCAATAATTAATAAATGGGACCTTATGAAACTGGAAAGTTTCTGTAAGGCAAAAACATCATTATTCAGACAAAGTGACAGCCTACAGGATGGGAAAATGCAAATCAAAACTACGTTGAGAGTCTGTCAGAATGACTAAGGTTAATAACACAAGTGACAGCTCATGCTGGTGACATGCGGAATGAGGGGGAACACTCCTCCAGTTCTCGTGGGAGTACGAGCTCATATAGCTACTATAGAAATCAATATGGTGGTTCCACATTGTTGTAGGATCCCGCTTGTTTATTCCCTAATGTTCAGCCCCGAAATAACCACACAGAAACTGAATCAGTTAAATCACTGCTTGATCCTTTATCTCTTGCTTCTTATTGGTTAACTTTTATATCTTAAATTTAACCCATTTCTATTAATCTGTGTATCTCCATGAGGCTGTGGCTTACCAGGTAAAGTTCTGGTGCCTGTCCCTGGAGGGGCTACATGGCTTCTCACTGACCTGGCCTTCTTTCTCCCAGCATTCAGTTTAGTTTCCCCCTCCTACCTAAGTTCTGCCTTGCACAGGCCTAAGACAGTTTTTTTTTTTTTTTACTAACCAATGGTATTCACAGCATAGAGAGGGGAATCCCATATCACCACATAAAGTTGGGAATCAATCTACCTCAAGACCCTGCTTACCAGTCTTGGACATGTACCTAAAGGATGCTCCATCCTATCACAAGGATACTTTTCACATGTTCACTGAGTCTTTAGTCGTAATAGCCAGAAACTGAAAACAACCTAGATGTCCCTCAATGGAGGGACT